AATGAAGGTTGGACCCGGCGAATCTGACTCATTAATCGTCAACAAATCCATTCGGACAAAGGTGCTGTCTCTATCGTTTAGGCTTTCTTTAAGCCATAGTTCGGAGTAGTGAATGCGCGTTTCCTCAAAAAATAGCGACAGTCACTCTGCCTTTTCCCTGTTCTCACTAATTTTTGGATCTTAACTTGTCTGCAGTTGAGTAATGGGATTTGCGTTTCGTGCACTCCTTCTTGCCTAACCGCAGAATGAGCTTGGATTCTTCACGCCACGATTCATCAGGTTTTCGTCAATATCATGCCGTATTCTGTGGAAAAGTCGGCTGAGCATGTTCCTCTGGGCTTTGTACGTATCTGTTGGTAAGGGGTTTTCATCGGTGATAAATTACTTCTAAAGCCTCTATTTTTTATTCACTTTTCTCGAGGCCCGTGTCAGCCACTGGAGTTCGTTTTTGAGACCCTTCCGCGACAGTGGACGGTCATTTCTGAGACGAATGGGCAATAAATGACCGGATCATTCCCAATTCTCGGCTAAGTTACTTAAAAAAGTATCTACTCAGTGTTGTTTATTTTGGCCTTTAGTTAATCGAAGTCGCCATGTCAAATATTCATCCTAGCTCTGGCGGGCGGTTCGTGCACCGAAAAGACGGAATACCCCCCGCAGCAATATGATGTGATCTCTTGGACTTGAGTGAAGTATTCGATGCACTTAACCAATTCAGTCCACCGATTGCGTGAATACCAGATCCAAAAAGTTCGGCCGTTGCCCTCTACGCCTCCTCGTCGGAAGTGCGATGTGTTGAATGAGGAGTACCCTGAATGTCCTGTCCAGTAAATGTCTGTCAAAAGCTAGTGATAGGGGGAGTGCGTAAGCCGAACTTCACTCAATAAGTGGTGCACTTAAGTTGCTCAAAACTAAGACGTCAGGCCAAGTCGCAAATCGTTTCAACTTCCTTACCAGACGCAAGCACATCGTGTTTAAATTACGTTAAAATGTCCTCCGGCACTCCCACCTAACTTTTCAAAACAAATGAAATCCGGGTAGGGCCAATTAGCGGTCATTCATAGTTTCATACAACCAGGTCTCCTTCGAAGAGATGACGTAGAGGGAGGTCTCAGGTTCGAACCTTTAGTGTCTCGAACTTTGACGATGTACCTTGGTGAACACAAATGACTACCCGAAACCATTTTGAATGAAAACCACTAAAAATATCACTGCCATCCGAGATCGAGGGGGACTGATAGTTGTTTTCTGCCTCAAAGAGAAACTGCAAAGACTTGACCCTGTAATCTTTGAAAGGAGGGAAGGTGCTTACCTCCTTGTTTACGTAAACAAGAAAAGGTAGACCATTGAACCGTTTGAGGGGGAAGAAAAGTCGAAACGATGGCAACTGGCCAGTGGTAACCATCGCTGCGGCAGTTGGCGAAAGACGTACGGCCGTCTCCACTTCCGCGTTCTTGGACCGAAAGTCCGATAGTGACAACAAAAATATTTCAGATGCCGTTCGTGCAAATGAAAAAGCCAGCGCCAAGACAGTGAATTCCTAGCCGACCGAAAACTATTAATACTGACGAGCATGGAGACGATCAAATTACACAAAAGACTATTTTGTCTTTCAAGTCGTTTAGGACGCCGCGCCTTGGTCCTTCTGTTGCTGAGACGAGGCCTGATAACGAATTTGTCCATGCAAGGAACGTAACAGCAAAGTGACGATGGCGAGTGAGGTGGTTCGTGTTTTACCTGTATGGAGCCCTAACATCCAATGGGTGAATCTGGTTGGTGGGAACTGAAGCAGGAAAAAAACAGTGGAGTACAAACTCCTGACTATATCAGTCCAGTTCAGTCTAGTTTTTTTGAGGGAAACATAGGTCTTCACCCTTAAACTCCCTGTTTGTTTACAAGAAATTGTAAAATCTCAAAAACTGGAAAAGGTATCATAAAGATAACAAATAATCGGAAAAGCGTCAGCTCTGTGCAGACGAACAAACTGTCTCGAATGTTAGTGGTACGAGCAGTTGTACAGCGGTCATTTCGAGAGCAGGGAAATAAATAATATACCTGGAAACAAAAGTTGCAGAGGCGCATGTTAGTAAGCGTAGGCGATGGGTTGAAGGCAATAAGAAATTCAATTTAAAATGTTACTGAAATATAGCAAGCAGCATTATAACAATTCGATTTGTCAAGGTTACAGAGGTCGGGCGGAAATTTAATGGACACTGCTATACAGGTCCAGCTTCCCCTTAAAGACCTCGACGGAAGCAGACATAACGAAATCCACAGGCAGGGCGTTCCAAGCTTCTAGCACTCTGTTATAGAAGAAGAACTTTCGTGTGTCGAGCCTGGCTCCCGTTACACGTAGTTTGAATGCATGACCTCGTAGGTTTGTGGTGGTTGTTAACTCGAAGAAGTCCCCCGATGCGAAGCTGCAGTCCTGACCGCGTGTGATGCGGAAGGCTTGTATCAGGTCACCCCGTAACTGCCTGTAACTCAAGGGAAAGAGATCAAGGTTAGCTAACCGCGTTGCATATGGTAGTGAACCCTGTCCTGCCACCAGTTTCGTTGCACGCCTTTGAACCCTTTTGAGGATGCTGAGGTCTTTCGCGGTTCAGGGTCTACAAGCTTGAATAGCAAATTCCAATTGCGGCCGCACAAACGTTCGAAAGACTTTAACGAAGCAGTCTTCATCAAAGGCAGAGAATGCCCGCCTGACAAGGTAGAGAACTGACATTGCAGACTTGGTTACCTTCGTGCAGTACAGCGAGGGTTTGAGCAAGGTCGCAATTCATATTCTCAAGTCCTTCTGCGAGTCCCCTTCTTGCAGTGGTAAACTACTCAGACGGTAAGCCATGTGGTTCGGAGAGCGGGCTCTGCTGACTTGCCTTTTTCTCATTGAACGGCAAAAGCCCGTCCTGTCGGAGTCGGTTTAGGTTCGCCTACAAATGCCCTTCGTCCTCTGCAGTTCGAATGATGCTCCAGAGCTTAATATCATCCGCAAAATGGCGACACCACAATCCAGTTCACTCACGCAATCTTTCACGTAAATAATGAACAGAGTAGGACCAAGAACTGAACCTTGGCGAACACCGCTTTCAACAGCAACCTCCGTGGACTGCTGGTCACCGACATAGACAATTTGAGGACGGTCTAATAGGAAGCTTTGAATCCATTTTAAGAGGTTACCCCAAACGCCTGTTCGGCTCAGTTTGTGCAGGAGTCGCTGATGTGGAACACTATCATATGCCTTTTTAAAGTCTAAATAGACTTCATGCAGCGCACTGCCTTCATCGACTGACCGAGTCCAACGTTCCAACCAGTAGAGCAAGTGTATCACGCAAGACCTGCCTCTACGAAACACATACTGCGTATCAGATAATAAATTATGCTGCTCTGGGAAGCGCATTAGCTCTCGCTTGATTATTTTTTCCATGATTTTGCAGCAGATGGAGGTGAGGCTAAACCCCTCCAATGCTAAAAGGCAGCTTATCGAGTCCGATCTCGCAAAATTTATGCTAACTTGATGACGACCAGCGGGAAAAAGAAGCATTTGAAGTATAAGTTACGATTGTATGTGACCCTCAAAATCCATCCGAGCGATGGTTCTCGATGGTGCTATTGGCGAATTTAGCTGTGCGTTGAGACTACGTATCGCATAGTCTTCAGTACGAATTATTTTTGTAAATGGGCTTTAAAAAGTCCCTATAACCAGTAAAAGTATGAAGTGAGTGGCACAGCACAAAACGCTAATAAAGCGTATACTCGCTGACTGTACGATGCATGGAGAAAGATAAATGCAACCGGACCATCACTCATGCGGGAAGACAAGAATTATCAAAATCCTAGGCAAAGATTCATAGCTCTAAGGGGATGCTGCGTCTAGCATTAGAAAACAATCGAGAAAAATAAGTCATAAATCACATAGAATAGTTTTACAGTCTCAATAAAAGCGAAATTCTCTTCGGTGCCGATATTTTTACGAAGCGAAGTCCTCCATGTAGTTCATTTGACCCAAGACTCACGAGCGCGTAGCAATGAGCAGAACAAGATTGTCAATTTCGAAAAGTCGGGAAGGTCTAATTAGCTTTTGAAGATGTATCGGAAGCTGACTTAGTTGTTATTTTAGTGAAGACTAACAGGCTGCCTGAAATCTACCTCGCACAGCCTACTATGACGTACTACCACACTGCTTTCAGTGCCCTCCTCCAGATGGTGCATTTGTGATCGTCTTTCCTTAGCTTTCCTTGAATATCTGTAAAATACAAATCTTTGCTCGAGGAAGTCTAATTGGGATGCTGCGAACAAGTCCCCTAACCCGATCGGAGGGCTCCTTCACTAAGATAATTAATTTTTTCATAATGAACAACAATTTCCAGGCAGTTTGCAGCCGAAGGATCTACAACTCGAACAAAGTACAGTCAGGATCGAACTACCGTGGGTGAGTTTGTGAGGACGTGCCCTTTAATGATGCTGCTTGCAAAAAGTTTCAGGCCTTCATAAAAGGATGCACGAATATTCATTGCAATCTTCAGGACGCTTGAATGTCATGTTAGCGGCAGACCGGATGCGGGTGCTTTCGAGGACACTCCGCATAGCTACCTAAATATTTGCTTGCTGAATGTCTAATTAACTCTCAGATGACAACTCTGTTACTTCTTCCTATTTTACTTCGTATCTGCTAGGACTGGAACAGACTGCCAAGTGGTTGTGAGGCAGTTCAATCTGTGCCCTGCATTCTCAATCAGTTAAGGACCATGCCACCTTCCAAGCCGATAGTTACTTAGAGACAAAAACCACAAATTACGATAAATTTTTGAGAAAAAAATCATTTCGAATGATTTCTTGCAGATTAATATTGAGTACAACGCCAATTTGGCTAAATGTAGTCACTAATGCAACAGCCCAATTTGTTTGAACGCGTTGTCATGCGGGTAGTTGCGATTTCCGCCCACAGGGGTCCCTTCGTGCGCGTTATGTGCCGATAGTTGGTATAATGGCGAGTGCTCTCCATGAATATCAGTACTCGGTGCAGGTCAGGGGCAGGTTTGACCAGCTAATGAGTGATGGCCTTACTTCTGAAGACCCAGACCTGCTTCTGCAAAAGATACAGTCACGACAGAAAAAGGATAAGAAGGCAGCCAAGGAGAAGCCTGTAAAAGAAGATAGCACACCTGCTGCAAAGACCTCAGGTAGTGGTAGGCCCTCTATCTCATTGATTATTTAACAGCACCCCAAGTTCATCAGGCAGAGAAGCAAGTTGCTGAGGACGAGCACAAGAGCGACCGCACTGAAAAGAGGGGTGGCCGACAGCAAGAGGCAACTGATGAGGAGTTCGAAGCTGCCGCGGAGCCCTCTGCACCGGCTTTTGAGCACCCGGAAGGCAGGAGTCATGCAAACCGTGGTCGTGGAGGTTTTACGAAGAGCAGGCCTCCCCGTGCTCCAGGCCAGCGGGAGTTTGACCGTCACTCGGGTTCCCTTAAAACGTAAGTGATGAATTGTTATCCCTGTCTGATTAATGAGGACAGCTTTTACTGAGTTTTTGCAAGTCCTACTGTTGTGACATTTAATGAGTTGTCGCATTATAAATCACAGTGGTGTCAAGCCTGTCATGAAGAAGGACGGGTACGGCAGTGGAAACTGGGGAACAATCGAGGACGAACTTGAAGTGACAATGGCACCTGAAGGCACCTTACCCGAAGAACCACTTTTTGAGGAAAAAGAGAAGGCTGAAGAGCCTGCAGAGAAACCTGCGGAACCTGTTGAAGAGGAGCAGAGAACCCTAACTCTGAAGGAGTACAAGGAACTAAAAAAAGCCTCCAAGGCGAAAGTAGAGTTGAAGACTACTGGTGGTCGCGAGGCGAACGACGGGAAGGACGTTTTTTCGAACATGGTCGCCGTAAGCCAACCACGACCTGTCGAACAGTTCATTGATGTTCTGGCCGAGACCGAAACCCCGTCTGAGGTAAGTCAGTAATTATGCTTGAGACAAATTCTTTAGGATTCGAAGCCAGCGTTCTTCGAAATGAGGACGCAGTCGCGCGGACGCGGCCGGGGTACTGCAGACCGGGGGCACAGTCGCCCGGAAGTAGCCCCTGTACATGCCGAACCAGAACAGGACGCTGCTGAGAATGCCACGGGCGACCCGGAGCCGGAACATGCACCTGCCGAACGAGGACGAGGTGGATTTGGGCGCGGTGGACGCGGAAGAGGGCAGCAAGACCGCGGTGCGGGTTTCCCCGAACGCGGCCGTGGGCGTGGCCGCGGCTTTGGTGGTCGTGGTTTCTCGGTCGGTGAGCGTGGTTCCGGTCGAGGCTTTTCTCGAGGAGGCGGTGAACATTTCGAACGTGGAGGTTCTCGCGGCGGCTTCAGCTCTGAGGATGGCCGTGGAGGCTCAGACTCGGGACGCGGTCGTGGCGGTCCCGGACACGAGCGAGGTCGAGGCGGCTTCGGACATGAGCGCGGCCGGGGTGGCTTTGACCACGAACGTGGTCGAGGCGGCTTCGATCACGAGCGTGGCCGAGGCGGCATTGCTCATGAGCGCGGCCGAGGCGGCTTTGATCATGAGCGCGGTCGAGGCGGCTTCGATCACGAACGCGGTCGAGGTGGCTTTGATCATGAGCGTGGTCGAGGTGGCTTCGATCACGAACGCGGCCGAGGTGGCAGAGGAGGCTTTCGTCCTGAGCGCGGTCGTGGCGGTTTCGGTGCAGAGCGTGGAAGAGGCGGTCGCGGAATGCAAATGAGGGGCGGGTTCCGTGGTCGGCGCCCCGCACTTGAGCACGGCGACGTCCCATCGCCGTCCACTCCGGTGCCACCGTCAATGGACAGTGAATCGGATTTCCCATCCTTGAAGTGAACAAGCCACCTCGAAATGCGAGTGCTGTTTAGCCAGATTATCAAACTTGTATATGAACTGTAATTTATTCTGATGTTGCACTGGCACTGAGTTTTGAATTACTCGCCCCTGGGAGTTTGTCGTTTTCCTGAATTGCCTGCATTTCGCCAGTGCGCACGTGCTCATTGGCCGGAACTACTGGTATCAGGGAGGTAGGCTCTTGCGCGACAGCATAGGCTAGTGTTTTAGCGTCTGATAAACCCGTGTGCATTTGGCGTAGGTGCTGTCCTGTTGTGTCGATTCTTTGTCCATCTCACATTCGTTGTTGCGTTGTAAGCTCTCTGCACTACGTGCCATGATAAGTGAAATACTGGACCAATTATCTTCGGCCCGGTCTTCTGGCTCATCCTGAGATGGGCTCGGTCCGTGTCCACTCATTTAAATGGGAAGCGGAGTGGTTGCACTCTCCCCCGTAACGCTCCACTTTTAGCTGGCAAAGTTGTTGGGTATTTGCACGGCCGGACGGTCTAGTCCTCGGGGGGACTGTTCACCTGTTGTGGCTGTGCAAACCCTTTCCTTTGGACATCACAAGACGTAGTTGGCGTCACTCTTCAGGTTGGTATACATGTTTTGGCGTATGTAGCGCGTGCCTGCTGGGTGTGGGAGTTGCACTGCCAGGTTTTCGTATATCATTGGTAGCCGCCTGACGGCATGCTACCCAGGGGCAGATGCCTCCCGAGCTTCAAGGCGGTCTTGTCGGCTCCTGCTGCTCCGTCTGGGGCCGCGTGCGGACGTTAACAGGTTCTTAAGACATCACGCTGTAAGCTTGCATATCATTGTTGGCTTGAACTATGCTGTTGGCCTTAGTGGCGCTCGGCCGCTCCGTTAAGATGTGTTTTGCACCTACCACCGGCCATGTGGTTCTGCCAGCAGGACAGTAGGACGCGTGTCAAATCCAACTTGGCCGTCCTTCTCGGGCGTTACTGGGTAGATGACTCATTTGGGCAATTCTAAGAAGAACCCGTAGGCCTTACCCCTTTGGGCGTCCAAGGACTTCCTAAGTCCTGGTTCCTAACAGTCTGAGAGATTGGTGAGCGCGGTTAGTAGGTCAACGACCGGCTGTCGGACGGTGGTCGTTTGGCGTGGATGACGGAGTTCGCCGCACGTCAGCGTTGTCACCTAAGGGTCGTTTCCGGCCGCGTCTGTGGACCCCAGAACCTCTATCTTCGCCAGCCTCTTGTGGGTGCCTGGCTGCCCGCCACTGGCTCCGTTGCGTATCTCATCGCTTGGCCAGCTGGAAGAAACCCTGTTCGGGGGATTGCTGCCGCCGCTGTTCAGATCGGATGTAGACGGACTCGCCCGGGGTCGCGTCTGCACTTCACGAATAGGGTCGCTCCCAGGCGGCTATGATCGACGACCTTGCGCTCGACCTGGGCCGAGCTGCCGGCAGTATGGTTGTCACTCGTCTCGCAGACGAAGTTGACCAGTGCGGAGCGCTGGCACCGGCTTGTCCTGGGGCCGTAGGGTGCCACTGGCACCTGAGGTTTCCACTTCAAGATTCCTAGCTCCAGCCCAATAGTATTTAGGATGCTCCTAGCCCACCTCAACGAGTGATGGGGAGGGGGAGATCAGTTACTGTTCTTGCTCGGGATATGTGGCCGTGGGCTTCTTAAGCTAATACAGTCAATGGGATGCCAATGGCCTTGTTCGGGTAAATAGCTACATATTCCGCCGTCTGGGCAGGATGCAACGGTCGGCTGTAATGACCACAGCGACGGCGCTGATTTAATTAGGATGTCAGCGACCACGGAATCAACAAATGTCTGAAAATAAGTCGCTGAAAAAAAGACTCAGTTCTGGTAACCGGAGCCTGCTGGTTGCCCTCTATTCCCGCACCGAACACTGGGCGTGGGAGTCTGTACCAGGTGGTCATCACATGGTGCCTATTAGAGCGCGGGTCGGCGTGACGGAGGGAAAAGAGTTCTCCCTGGCGGGTTATCTATTTATCGGAAGCCGCAAATCGGAGATTCTGCCTGGTAGCCGACGCATTGTTCTTACGGAGGCTGTGAATATCCGGACCTCGCACAGAAGTTCCAGTCACAGTCCGCACGTTACAGCGTCGACCAACAGGATGACCAGCTTGGCTTGCCTTCTGTTCATCTGCGTCACTGGATTAGGTCAGTGGAGCACGCCTGTCTCGGTGGATGCATCGCGGTAGCGCTAGGCATTTGTTTCATGAGGTGTATTACGATTTTTCGGTACAGGCGAGTCCCAAACAATTCCAAAAAACAATTGGCCTTGTGTCAGAAGTATCGTAAAAGGCCGAAGACTTCCGTATATCGTGCAGAGTATCGTTTCACACCGTTAATGTACCGACTACTACCATCGGCTGCTAGAAGCAGTTTATTTAGTTTGCACAAATTGTCGTCGTCGTTTGACGCATTGGCTCGGAAGGGGTCGCCGTCCACGAGCCGTTTGATTCAAATCTCTTTCGGTTTTCACACTTCCCACTCTGCACTCAGAGGGTTTCTCCAAATAATCAGGGAAAACAAGCAATTATGTGGATCGAAATAAGCCTACATCCGGCAAGTCTGCTGGTGTGCGTGAGTTTGTTACTATCGGATCAGAAAGCCTCCTGACACCGATATCCTTCCCCTCATGAACACTCCTGATGTTGTTGGTGTTTAAGACTATGGTCGGCAGTGCAGGAAAGTGCGCTGGTACTACGTAGCGTGCCGCCTACGTAGCATGTCGGCCAGACGTCCGCTGCCACGACTCTCGCGCACAACCGATTAAAAAGTGAAACTGACCTTTAGAGATAGGCCGTTTTTTTACCTACGGAGGTCTAGAGCCACAACATGAGCCGGTTTGACATGTAGACCCAACACCAGTTTTTGGTATCCAGCCGTCATAACAAGACGCGGGTCATGCCTTAGTACGTATTTATTCTGATGCGAGAGCCACTTATAGCAGAAGGGAATAACACATTTTTGCGGGTCGGATTGCGCTGGGATGGTTTTTAGTGCCGGAATGCGCCGTAGATTACGGTGTGCGTATGATACAGCAGTGAACCGGCTCACCCTGCCCAGGCTAAATGCAGGGCTGCTGGTCACTCTTCTGGGCCCCAAGGCATGTAAGCACTTGGTATGCCATGATCAGCAATCCGTGGCCCTCGCCGCCTGGTGTGCGCTGGTACTTGGTTCCCTGCGCTTGCCCTCCCACTGGGTATACAGGTCGTTTCCCAGTCACTCTCCTCCTTTTGACTCGTTGTCGGGCCGTTGTTGGCTAAAATCCTGGTGAAGTGTGGCCCAGGGGGTGTGGCGGTACGCCTAGATGCGGGTCCGGCCGTGCCAACCACATGCAGCCTCCCCCGCCTTCAGTTATCTCTTGACTCTGTCTTGACACCTTGTCCAGGTGGGGAGTGGGGAAGAGAGAGAGAGCGCGCGCGGTAGATGCTGCACAAGTCTGCGTTCACAATGCACTAATTCACGCACACGTCACGGTGTCCTGCTCTCACCCTGCTCTGGAGCACTCGGTGGACATCGACAATGGTCGAACCGGCTCAAGGGACATTGAAGCTTGACGATGAACCAAAGTTGAATAGTAGGTGACAGTGGGTGTTGATGCATGCTGCGTAATATTTCTCGGTTTGAATGCTGTGCTAGGTGACATCAGTGTGGCGACAACCTCATAAATTTGACCTTAAAGGGGATGAGTCGGCACACCATCAAAAATTGTACTCATTGCCAGCTAACTTGACTCGATGAGAGAGCCATAACGAGTCTCATCACGGCTACCATGTGCACCTTGTGAGAAGCGATCACAAACTCAATGGGGTCATTGGGTTCTCGTTAGGTCCTTAGTGACAGAGCCTTCTTGCTGGTCCTGTTGACCAACTTCACCTGGCCATGTTTACTGCCGAGTTAGCTACACTGTCCCATTTAATCATTAATACCGACACGCACGACCGGCCGTTTTGGGTGGGTTTTGCGAAATAGGGCCTTCGCACTCACTGCGGGCCCGTAAATTAAGAAAAACCCACTAAAACTCGAGCCATGGGACTTGCGCCTTGTCGAGAGTGACCGTTTGGTTGTTGATTTCGACAATGTTCACCGTGTGCTTCACAACAGGGTGAGAGCAGGGACGAGGACTTGCGCGGAAATTAGTTTATCTTTCTGGTAGCCTTGGGCTACATCTACCGCCCTCCTCCCCCAGCAGGGTCCGATGTCGAGACTGGTGGTGAAAGAGGGCTCAGGTGGCTCGCACGTCGTAAATCCACATCCAGGCGTACCACTACATCCCCTGGTTCACAACAAACACTTGACCAGGATTTTAAACAAAAGGTATGGGGAGCGACACAGATCCCAGTTGGCGCTACACCCCAGTACTGGGTCTCAGTCCCGATAACGCCCACCGGAGTCCGACCTAGCCCCCGCATTGGTCCAGCACATCTGCCATGTGGCCCGTTTTAGGGGCAGTTCTCAGGAGTCCCCAGTATATGGATGGCCCTAACTGGTTTATCCTGATTACAAAACCCAGTCGATACTAGCAAAAAGGCGAGTTGCAGGTAACGATTGAGAAGGAGAGACCCGATCGTTGGGAAAGTTTATTTGCTCAAAGATTCGAATTTACGCTGAAACCCGAGAACGTAGGCATGAGCAGATGCAGCTTCCTCGCAACCTCATGTGCATCAAAAGTAACACTTCATGCACTCATCGCGGATGAGAGGTCACAAGTACGAATGCGACTGCATCCTCGTGCATCGACTACTCCTGTCTGTCACTGTCTCCGGTGATGCGTTTCAGCGTAAATCCGAAACGGATGCATGAATTTCTTATTCCAGCGGTCGACTGTCCTAGTAAGACGACACAGTCGCTCATATGTCCTCTTTCTTTGTCGGCATAATTTTTCGGCTATCGACCACTAGGCGACCTCCCGCTCTTTGATACAGTAGATTCACTGTTTCCACATGGAGGATAGAGCGGCCAGGTAGTGATTCTGGTGATAAAGTAACCAAAACTTGACCGATCACCTATCTGGGCTCATAAGAGATATTGGTAGAATTTGAGATCAGACGATCTTTCCCAAACCCGGATACTTTTTAGGCATCCTACACCGATAGCCTCTCTCATAAGTGACTATGATTCAGGCCGAAAGTGTCGATTTTCCTCGATCATGCTAACGAACAAGGCTCTACGGTGGCAACTACGAGTGCCCATCTAATTACCACAGCAAATAAACGTCGAGTAGCTTTAAGTCACCTTTAATGCGCCTACGAGTCGCCAAGTTGTCGGAACATGAAACAGCAACGCCAGGTAGTTGGCACAACTTCCCTGAAATTCCTCCCCTGCACCAATGAAAAGTAAATAATGCACCAAGCCTTCCGACGGATGTCCTCGGTGGCTGTAGTTTCGGGCTTCTCGGAATGAAACCCTGCTAAGTCCAACTTGTACTACAACTGTCTCCTCCAGGACCGAGCTGGCTGATCAAGCGCCTGCCAAGTGCGAACGCGTCCTCGTCGCGCCACCGCTGTCGCCACCGCGACCTACCTTGGCACCCGAATTCAGCGCACCAGAGAGCAGGCCGTCACCCGATGCCACCGCAGTGACTCACCGTAGGAACTTTTGCCAAATGTGACGCCTCGCTAAACCTTTCTTATGCTCACTTTGATGTAGTGCCGCAGCGGGTATACACGCAGTCATGCTCGGCATACAGCAACTGCCCAGTACACCTATCCTCACCTCGCAACGGAAAACCTGCATCGCCTCCTGAACACCCTTAACCGTAATGAAGGCGAAAATTCGATTTCCAGGTGTATGCATAAGTGAATAAGAAGAGTCGAGCACCGGAATACTGTGTTTATTGTCCTGAGCTTTCAGACGCGTGCAGGAGTCCATCGTCAGAGGTAGCAACAGCAGCAGCAGCAGCAGCAGCAGCAGCAGCAGCAGCAGCAGCAGCAGCAGCAGCAGCAGCAGCAGCAGCAGCAGAACAAGCAACAGTTATAAGGCATGTTGGCCAATCAGCGACCGACGGCGCAAGACTGGAGGTGACTACACAGGGCTCTGTACGCCGGCGCCAGATCGATAAATCGATTGACCGAATTCCCATCCGAGGCCCAGGCTTCAATCAATTCTCGGCCTGTTTTGTTTCCGGCGTGGGCGACTACTTTGGTGGTACGAGTCAAAAAGCTCAGGACAATAAACACAGTGTTCCGGTGCTCGACTCTTCTTCTTCACTTAACCGTAATGTATTATCGGAACGAAAGTGCCTCTCCCTGTGCAAGGATAACCGCGTGCAGCAGTTCACTGATCTAACCGCACTGACTTGGAGCACTTTCTGTTCTCTGCATCGATGAGACGTCGAGCTGCCGGAAGGGCACAGTAGCATCCACGGGAAGCGAAGTTTCAGACACCACGAGTCAGCTTTTGCTAACTTTCTGGCTTCTAAAACCGATTAGTCTCTGCCTTGATTTGGTGTCCCGAGCGGAAACTCTTCACTTATCACCGACTCACGACCCTGTGTGTGTGTTTTGCCCGTAAAAGCGGTCACACGGTAGTTGTGCTGGACCAACACGGACGGCTAGATCGAAGCTCGGTCGGGCGTCTCCGGGAATGCGCATTGAGAGTGCGGTGACACGCCCAGTTAGAATTCGTGCAGCAGGAGGAGGAGGAGGAGGAGGAGGAAGAGGAGGAGGAGGATAGGGCGCAGTAGATACAACGCAAGTGAGCCCTCACTATGCAGTAATTCACGCGCAGGTCGCCGTCCTTGTCCTTACCCTACGGCGGAGCACACGGTGGACACCATCGAAATAGACGGTCGAACTGTTATTTTGCCCATGCAGTAGAGGCGCTGGACCAACATGGGCGGGTAGATCGGAGCTCGGTGGACGTCGCCGGGAATGCGCATCCACAGCAAAAGCCAGCATTGGGGGTGCGGTGACACACCCAATTGCCGGCTGACTTCGCGCCAACCGAAATTCGTGCAGCTACCCCCCCCCACCCTCCCCTTTATTTTTTGGTGTATAAAGGCCTGGTCAGTGTCCGTTGTGCACCAGGGGCTGTGGTGGTACGCCTAGGCGCGGGTTTACACCACGTCAGCCACCCACGCCCTCGCCCATCTCCGGTCTTCTTGACTCTGTCTCGACGTGAGTCTACTATCACTATGAAGTAATTCACGCGCAGGTGGCCGTCTCTGTCCTTGGCCTGCTGTGGAGCACACGGGAACAACATCGAACTAGCTGGCCGAACTGTCATTTTGTCCCTAAAACGGTCCATCAAGTAAAGGCGCTGGGCCAACACGGGCGGGGGTAGGCCGGAGTCCGGCCGGCGTTATCGGCAATGCGCACCCATAACAAATTCCAGCATTGGGGGGGTGGTACGATCGTGTACGGGCTCATGCCGCGCCAATTGGGATTTAAACCGTCCCCCCCTTTACTCGCGATGTATGTGACACCCTGGTCAGCATGCGTTGGGAACCAGGGAGTTTGGTAATACGTCCATTTGCGGGCTTCCCGCCTTCGGTCTTCTTGACTCTGTCTTGACAATGGGTCCAGGTGGGTGGAGCAGGGGAGAGTGCGGTAGACGCAGTGCAAGTCACTGTCCTGCTCTCACCTTGCTGTGGGCATTGTCGGTCACGACGGTGAGGCTGTCGTGTGTGTGTGTGTGTGTACCACAAATGTAATTGATGAGGTCGCTGTGAAATTGATTGTGAAAGTTTTGCAGTTCACCACCATCGCCACTTCCTGTTCCTGGCCGGGAAATTCCTCTTATCAATGTCGTCTGCCCGTAAAAAAATACAGCCGTAGTCCAGGGGGCCTCTACCTGCGGATGACCAAATCCCATTTAGGCCGTGTCCCGTAGGACATCATCCGCCGCGGCCCCCTTTATTTGTGGTGTATGACGTGCGTTGTGAACCAGCCACCTGCAGCCTCTCCCACTTCTGGTCTTCTTGACAATGGGTCCAGGTGGAGGAGCAGGCGAGAGCGCGGTAGATGCTGCTCAAGTCTGCTCTCACTATAAACCAATTCACGCACAAGTCACTGTCTTGCTCTCACCCTGCTCTGGACATATGAGCGACTGTGTCGTCTTACTAGGACAGTCGACCGTTGGAATAAGAAATTCATGCATCCATTTCGGATTTAGGCTGAAACGCACCACCAAAGAGTGACAGACAGGGGTAGTCGATGCACGAGGATGCAGTCGCATTCGTACTTGTGACCTCTCATCTGCGATGAGTGCATGAAGTGTTACTTTTGATGCACATGAGGTTGCGAGGAAGCTGCATCTGTTGATGTCTCTGTTCTTGGATTTCATTGTAAATTCGGGTCTTTGAGCAAATAAACTTTCCCAAACGATCGAGCCTCCCCTTCTCAATCATTGCCTAGAGGTCGCCTTTTTGCTAGCATCGACTGGGTTTTGCAATCAGGATAAACCAGTGGGGGTCATCCATATACTGGGGACTCCCGAGAACTGCCCCTAAAACGGGCCACATGGAAGATGTGCTGGACCAATGCGGGGGCTAGGTCGGACCTCGGTGGGCGTTATAGGGACTGAGACCTCACGCCAGTACTGGGGTGTAGCGGCAGCCAAGATGCCGGCTGACGTCGCGCCAACTGTCGCTCCCCATACCAGACGTCCGCTGCCACGACTCTCGCGCACAACCGTCACGGTATCTGTTCCAACTTGCTGTGGAGTACACGATGGACATAGACAATGGTCGAACCAACTCAAGGGGCATTAAAGCTTGACGATGAACCAAAGTTGAGTAACAGGCGACGGTGGATGTTCATGCATGCGACGTGATTTTTTTTCGACTTGAATACTGTGCTAGATGGCATCAGTGTGGCGACAACTCTAAAGGGGATGAGCCGACACACCACCAAAAAAAGTATTATTGGCCAGCTAACTTGATCCATGAGAGAACCATAACGAGGCACATCACGGCGACCATGTGTACCTTGTGAGAAGCGATCACAAACTCAATGGGGTCACTGGGTTCTCACTAGATCTTTAGTGGCAGAGCCGTCCTGCTGACCATGTTTACTGCCGAGTTAGCGATCCCGTCCCATTTAATCGTTAATACCGACATCCCCGGACCGGCCGTTTTTGGGTGGGTTTTGCGAAATAGGGCATTCGCCACTCACTGCGGACCTGTAAGTTAAGAAAAACTGGTAACAATCGGGAGAGAGCACCCCAAAAAATACTGCCGGCCAAAGCAACGATCTTATCGCAACTGTCCTAAGCTATGCAACCATTGATTGAGTCGCACACTGGCGACTGCGGTAGCTCCTGACCTCTGGAAGTAATGGTAAAAATTGATAATCCAAGTGCTCGGTCAACGGCGATCGTATTGCAATGGTCCGTAGGTAAGCTACTAGAGAATAATCCGCATAGGGACTACTGCGGTCGCTTTTCAGCAGTGGAAGCTTATATTAAGGTTGTTTAACGTAGGGTGGGTCTACGGCGATCGTTTCGCTACTGTCCCAAGGGCATGGTGCCATAGATTGAGCCGCATACCTACAACTGTGGTCATTCCCCACTTAAGGAAGAAATGGTCATAATGGATAAGCCAAAGGGCCGGTCCACAGCGATCGTATCGCAAGTGTTTGAACGTATCCTACCATAGATTAAGCCGCATATCGACTACTGCGCTCGCTCTTCAGCTGTGGAAGCCAATGTCAAGGTTGGTAAACATAGGATTGGTCTAAAGCGATCATTATCCAACTTTCCTAAGCTGTGTTGTTCTATAGTAAGCCGCAACCGGACTACTGTCGTCGCTCGTGACCTAAGCAAACATATGTGAAGGATGATAAACCAATGGTCGGTCTGCAGCGATCGTTTCCCAACTCTCCTAAGGTATGCAAGGGTAGATTTAGCCGCAAACCCACTACTGCTGTCACTCTTCAGCCGTGTAAGCCTAGGTCAAGGTTGATCAACCATGGCTCGGTCTGCAGCGGTGGCATCTCAACTGTTGGAGACAGCGATAATCTAAGTGAGGCAACATGTGCACTGCAGATCAGATAAAATTGAGATGGGATGAAACAACAAATATGTAGGGTCATAACCTAATCAAATAGGTATAGCAGGTATTATTTCTAGGGAACGGATATTTGGGTGCCCTCTCCCGAGTGCTACCGAAAAACCCACAAAAAACTCGAGCCACGGGACTTGCGCCTTGTTGAGAGTGACCATCGATTTCGACAATGTTCACCGTGTGCTTCACATCAGGGTGAGAGCAGGGACGACGACTTGCGCGTTCCTGGACGGGAAATTCCTCTTAGTAGTGTCGTCGGCCCTTAAAAAATGCAGCCGTAGTCCAAGGGCCGCTAACTGCGGATGACCAAATCGCATTTAGGCCTTGCCCCGCAGGACATCGACCGCGTTGGGAGCGGCTTGATGAAGGGATGGTTTTCTGTAGTTACTAACTTTGGAGGTGGTTGTCTCCATCCGGGACCCTGTTGGACGTCGGTGGGTAAGGCTCAATTTGGTGATCGATAACGTTAGCTGCAGTATCAATGTCCACCCGCACGTGAAAGTCCATGCCTGTTCATTCGTCAAGTCTAAGATTTCCCATGTTTCACGTCCAGCCCTCGTTGAAGGCTGTTCACGTGCTACGGTGGTCGCAACTTGGTTACCGATCAGGTTGCGCCTTCGGGGCCGATAACTACTGAACGGACTAGGCGAGAAACTCACTCTCGCATTTTGATCAGCCATTTGACTGGAAGTGACTGATTTAAGTCTAGCCCTGCCAAACGATTACACAATGATTCTGGCAAAGCGCATTCCTCTGCTTTCCCTTTTCAGAGGCCCACTCGCAGCCTATAAGCCCTCCCAGTTCTAGACAGTCGGTATATATTATTTATATTTATCGTGATCAAAATTCATACGTATGAATTGAAAAACAGGCATCCCAAGAATCATAATTCGAAAGAAAACAGCTCTTTGGGAAATATTAAACAAGTTTTATTGTAAATTTTCGATCTTGGTTCCCCAAGTCGTCTTCAGACGTGAAGTAAGTGTGCAACACAGTTAACATTTAAACATGCCGAAAAATCGATTTTGCCTTGTTACTCCTGCTGGTGTGATGTTCTGATTGGCTAACGCCTTTTC